AATATGCCTTGTTTACTAATGGGTCCTGCTGTATTGTGGGAAAGCTTTGGAGATGGAAGGCAGCTGTATGGAGTCCTGGATGACAAGTTGCAGAAACTGCTGAAGGAGAGGATGAATCAAGTCAGTTTGCCGAGGTGAAAGCCATCCAAAGTCAGTTTGACTGAGGCCAAAGACGAGGTTAGAGCCAGCTGGCCCTGGACATTGCCAAATGAGAAAAGTAGCCAGTACTTTATCACTATACTGACTCATGGATAGTGGCAAGTGCCCTGTGGGGGTGGTTGCCACAATGGAAGCAGAGCAACTGGCAGTGCAGAGGTAAACCCATCTGGGCTGCTGCACTGTGGCAAGATATCGCTGCCTGGGTGCAGAACCTGGTGGTGAAGGTATGCCACATAGATGCTTATGTATCCAAGAGCTGGGCCACCGAGGAGCACCAGAACAATCAACAAGTGGTTAAAGCTGCTAAGATTGAAGTGGCTCAGATGGACTTAGATTGGTAACATAAGGGTGAATTATTTTTGGCCCGGTGGGCCCATGACACTTCAGGCCATCAGGGCAGAGATGCAGCATACAGATGGGCTCGTGATTGAGGGGTGGACTTAACAATGGACACTAAGCCTCTTTGGTGTGGAGGATGATGGCTGAAGTACAAATATGGGGGGGAGGCCTGGCATATTGATTATATCACATTCCCAAAAACCCACCAAGGCAAGCACCATGTGTTCACCATGGTGGAAGCAACCCCCGGATGGCTGAAAATATATGCTGTGCCCCACACCACTGCCCAGGACATGATCCCTCAGGGACTGGTGTTGAGACCAGTCTTGTTTAACATCTTTGTCAGTGACATGGACAGTGGGATTGAGTGCACCCTCATCAAGTTTGCCAATGACACCAAGCTGTGTGGTTCGGTTGATACGCTGGAGGAAGGAATGCCATCCAGAGGGACCTTGACATGCTTGTGAGGTGGGCTGATGCCAGCCTTATGGAGTTTAACCATGCCAAGTGCAAGGTCCTACACTTGGGTTGGAGCAATCCCAAGCACAGCTACAGGTTGGGCAGAGAAGAGATTCAGAGCAGCCCTGCAGAGAAGGACTTGGGGCTGTTGGTTGATGAGAAAATGAACATGAGCAGGCAGTGCGTGCTTGCAGCCCAGAAAGCCAACCATATCCTGGGCTGCATCAAAAGGAGCGTGAACAGCAGGTTGAAGAAGGTGATCCTGCACCTTTACTCTGCTCTTGTGAGACCTCACCTGGAGTATTGTGTGCAGTTCTGGCGTCCTCAACATAAAAAGGACATGGAACTGTTGGATCAAGTCCAGAGAAGCGCCATGAGGATGATCAGGGGACTGGAGCACCTCCCGTATGAAGACAGGCTGACAGAGTTGTGTCTGTTCAGCCTGGAGAAGAGAAGGCTGCGTGGAAACCTCATAGCAGCCTTCGAGTATCTGAAGGGGGCCAATAGGGATGCTGGTGAGGAGCTCTTCATTAGAGACTGTAGTGATAGGACAAGGGGTAACGGATTAAAACTTAAACAGGGGAAATTTAGATTGGATATAAGGAGGAAATTCTTTCCTGTTAGGGTGGTGAGGCACTGGAATAGGTTGCCCAGGGATGTTGTGAATGCTCCATCCCTGGCAATGTTCAAGACCAGGTTGGACGAGGCCTTGGGTGGTATAGTTTAGTGTAAGTTGTCCCTGCCCACAGCAGGGGGGTTGGAACTAGATGATCTTAAGGTCCTTTCCAACCCTAACGATTCTATGATTCTATGATCCTAGGCTTGAGAACAGATTTTGTGGCAACACAGCACCCCAGAGAACTGAGTCAGACAATGGGACTCATTTTCGGAACAACCTGATAGACACTTGGGCGAAAGAGCATGGCATTGAGTGGGTATATCACATCCCCTACCATGCACCAGCCTCTGGGAAAATTGAACGGTACAATGGGCTGTTAAAAACTACACTGAGAGCAGCAGGTGGTGGGACTTTCAAACACTGGGATACACGTTTACCCAAAGCCACCTGGTTGGTGAACACCAGAGGATCTGCCAACAGGGCTGGCCCAGCCCAGTCAGAACTGTTATGTACTGTAGAGGGGGATGAAGTTCCTGTGGTGCACAGAAAGAATTTGCTGGGGAAGACAGTCTGGGTTATTCCTACTTCAGGTAAAGGCAAGCCCACTGGTGGTATTGCTTTTGCTCAGGGACCTGTATATACTTGGTGAGTAATGTGGGAAGATGGGGAAGTCTCACGTGTGCCTCGAGGGGATTTGATTTTAGGGGAAAACAGCCGATGAATTCAATTGTATGCTGTTGCCTGCTATGTAGCGCTTCTGTAGCCCACCAACTAGATGTCTGCAGGTCACCAGTAATTGGCCCTGACTTCGCTCTGACCATCATTCCAGCAAAGAATGAGCTTTGACGAAACCAGATGAGCTCAGCAGTGACCAGATGAGTTCCATGGTGTCATCAGCAGGCAACAGTCCAACACTGCACACCGTCTGACCTGCTCTGAGAGATTGTTAAAAGAGATGAAGCCTGACATCATGGACTGGATGAACTCTCCAGCTTTATAGGGATTTCTCCATGCACTAAGGAATGATATCTCTGTATGTGTGTGTGGACGTATATATGAGACAAGAGTGATGGTACATTGAAAAATGTGGGATCTGAGCATGACGTGAATGGTATGGAATAAGGGGTGGATACTGTCGTGGGTTCAGCAGTAGCAGTCATTTTTCTCCTTCTTAGTAGCTGGTGCAGTGCTGTGTTTTTGACTTTCAGCCTGGGAACAAAGCTGATAGCACTGGTGTTTTTAGTTGTTGCTTAGTAATGTTTACTCTGACCAAGGACTTTTCTGGGTCTCATGCTCTGCCAGGGAGGGGAAGCTGGGAGGAAGTGGAGACAGGACACCTGACCCAGACTAGCCAAAGAGGTATTCCATACCACAGCACATTGTACCCAGTATATAAACTTGGGAAGTTACCCAGAAGGGCTAGATCCCTGCTCGGGTTGGGCTGGTTATCGGCAGGTGATGAGCGGTTGTATTCCCTTCCCTTGTTATTTCCCTTACCAATATTATTATTATTGGTGACAGCAGTAGTGGTTTTGTGTTACACCTTAGTTACTGACTGTTCTTATCTCAACCCGTGGGAGTTACATTCTTTCAGTTCTCCTTCCCATGCGGGGGGGGGGGGGGGAGGAAGGGGAGGGAGTGAGTGAGTGGCTCCGTGGTTCTGGGTTGCCAGCTGGGCTTAAACTAGGACAGATGCCATTAGGCTAATCAAAGGGATTTGCATGAAATGTTTGTTTTATATTAAGTTCATTATCCAACCCCCCCGAAATTGAATTGCAATCTAGAGATAACATCATACTTCATCTTTTTAATGCAAAACACACTGCCATTATAACAGCAGAGTTAAATATATACAGGTGCATCAGTGTATGATGTATTAAAGGCTTTAGCTGAGTGTCTTGTTTCTGTGGTAGGAAAGAAGTAATTCTCAGGGCAGTACTTTAAAAATAGACTGACAAAGCAGTATTCAGTTTTCTCATAAAGCACTATGTTACAACATCGTTAAAGGTAGGCAAGAGATACCTACATATCTCTACCAAGAATTCTTTTTGCACAAGAGAGTGAACAGCATGTTTGCCTGCACGTGGCTTTGGAAATGCCAGTTTTGATGTGTAGGGCTGCCTGCAGTTAAGATTTCCAATATTTGTGCTTCAGATGTTATGGTAACTGCTTCTTTAATTGCTCCTTATTCCAGGTCTATTGTTTTGGTCCTGTCCAAAACAGTGAAGAAAGAAGCGGACATTTGACTAGCTATCCATGTGTTTGTGGGTTTTTTTTTTGTTTTTTTTTTTTTTGTTTTCATTCCTCTGCTCAGTAACTTCTCTGTAGTTTCTGATTTTCTTTTAACATATGGTCTTTGTGTTTTTTAACAAGAGAGATGCCTTATACAAAGTGATAATTTTTAAATTGTCTTACGTAAAGCATTAAAGATGCAACTGAAGTATATGCTGTGTGCTGCTTTGGTACAAGATGGCTTTTTTGCACTTCCTTTGGGGTGGTTGTCCACCTCTCTTAAACCACAGAGTGTAAATGACTGTTCAGACTACTTGCATAACAAATCTGTGCCTCTGAGTCTAATGGGTAGCTAATATGTGGTTTATTAAGCAGCTTTTAAAAATCTGAAATCTTTGTTAAAACATCTCAGTCAAAATTTCAAAGCAAGGAAAAATTTTATCATCTTCCTTTCGGGAAAGATGTGTTCTAATCATGCTTATAATATACCAATGTTTAGCTCTTTATTTATTGTTCATGAAATAGTGCATGATTCAACTTCATCCCTTTAGTAAGCCCCCTTACTACCTGTAATCGTTGACATAAAAGATTTTATTATGGCAGTCTTTTCTTAAATGGGAAAAAAAAAATGCACCCTTTGCTGGTTATCATAATTATGGGGAATGTAAAAATAATTTAAAGAGTTGATAATGTAACAGATATAATGTTGCAAGGCTGACATCTTTTGCTGGAATTTCGCTTTTCCCAGGAGAGATGTATGCATATATCTCAAAAGCAAATCCCAGGGATTATTAGTTCCTTTATAGGTGTTTTTCATGGCAGTTTACAGCTGATACCTTACAGAAAAACCCACTCAAGTTTGACATTTGTAGATACCACACACATTTAAAAGCTGTATGACTTTAAAAAAAAATCTTTACTCTTAAATTCTGAGCACTGGGAACTGTGGTAACTGTTCATTTGACATGTTGGATCTTAGAGAGGTATTCTTTGCCTTTGAGCTCAGTTAAAGTATTATGCACTTTATTGTTTGAGAAATTTTTCGAGAAAATGTGTCTGAGAGGGGTTCTCTGGAGAGCTTCCTAACAGTAATGCTTTCCAAAGATGAAAAGCTTCGTAACTGTCATCAGATACATTTAAATAATGAACAGTTTAGTTTTCTAAAATGCTTTAAATGTTTTATTGTTAACAGGTCTGCAGGTGATAAGGAATTCACCATGAATGGGCAGCTGGATTTAAGTGGGAAGCTGATCATCAAAGCTCAGCTTGGGGAAGATATTAGGAGAATTCCTATTCATAATGAAGATATCACCTATGATGAATTGGTGCTAATGATGCAGAGAGTTTTTAGAGGAAAACTTCTGAGCAATGATGAAGTCACAATAAAATACAAAGATGAAGGTAATACTTGATTACTGCTGTTAAGGTTTAATTACTTCTCTTGCTCTAGTATAATCTATGGACAGAAACTCTGAAATTCACCTCTTTAGAATTGTCCAAATTCATTGGCAATTGCAAGTGATTTCTTGTGAAATTCTTTGAGTCAGACAATAGAAGCTGTATTTCTTGTGGTTATGCTGTCTTAACATAGCTGATCTTTCAGAAATAATGGAGGAAATACTATCTGAAATTTCATTTTTTGCTGTTACAGGAAGCTGGTGCAATCACAGTTTTCTGTCTACTTATTCTCTTGTGTTTTCAATGATGAAGTGGATTTGAAGTAGAGGAGGGAATAAACACATACGACTTAAACCAAGCTCTTACAGGTCTTGGAAAACTTCGCTTCTGTAGTAGTAATTCTTAATTACGTTTTTCCCCATCAGTAGAGATTACAAGACACTTTTAACCTGAAATATTTATTAAAAATAATCTTTTGCTTGAATAATGTTTGAATCTGTTGGACATTGGTTGTTGCAAAGAAAATCTTGATCATTAGTGTTAAATGCAACCTTAAGAAGAGCTTCCACAGAATGAAAAGGACCTTGTTTGAGATGTGTAGAAAGAGAATTGTAGATTGGAGGGTTTTCTTCTTGGAATGTCAGAAGGGTGTTTATATGGCTACGCGTGTTTTCCTCATAACGCTTTCCCACTCTCTCCTTTATGCTGCTTAATTTGTGTTCATTTAATCTATTAATAATCTGTTGCATATGTTAAACCAGCAGAAAATCTGTCCTGCCAAAGAGAATAGTCTTGTTCTATCTGTAATCTTGTTGAGTAAGTAAAGATGTTAATGTGGATTTGTCTTGACTGAGCATAAAAACTGTCAAAGACCAGGCTTAATGGGGGCTTGGTGTCTCTTTTGGGTATTAATAGTATTAAAGGTATTCAGTGCTTTATGCATAACCCTTTATATCTTAAGAATAAAGGATCCCATACAGTTCTAATACAGCACCTGTGACTGACGGCAATGTGCGCATTCATTAGGATGCATTGGTATGGGAGTTCCTCTGAAAAACCTGGCACATAAAAATAAATAACTTAAGTGTTGAGGCTTCATGTCAGATTCCTGGTTTGAGAGAAAAGTTTTATTCTGGCTACTTTGACATCTTCATGTCTTCATTCCTATTTGTGTGTAAAGATGATAAGATATTTCCACTGTACATTTTTACACTGGAACTTTACTATCATTCCCGTGTTAAAATTCAGTCTTGCACCTCAGTGTTCTGTGTAAAACCTGATAAAATGTTCTAGTCACTTAAAATTTTCCCTTGGTAGTGTGTGCGTTTTGTATTTTAAAAATTGATTTGGGATTGCCTTGTGCCATGTACCTTCAGCCTCCTCCTGTCTGTACATGAACAGCACAGTTTTGGAGCCAGTTGGAACAGGCATATAGCTTAACTGGCAGCATCATTCTTTCTGGTGTTGGACTTGTAGCTCCACTGTTTCATCCTGTATGTAAACAGACAAGAATGGTGAGTCCTATGAAACTTTCAAAGGGATGTCAGAAGACTCCCTTTTCTAGCCAGTCATACTTCTATCTTACCTTCTGTGCATAAGTTCCCAGCACACTGATTCTTGGGCTAAAATAATAAACTTTTTTCCTAGTAACTTCAGAATCAAATAGGGAAAATTATTTTTGAGTAATGAAGTAACACTTCTGCCCTACCATGAAGGTCAGTAGTTAAAAGGCTTTGCTTTTAATGTAACTTTTTTTCATGTTCTTTTCAGATGGAGATCTTATAACAATTTTTGATAGCTCAGATCTTTCCTTTGCAATTCAATGCAGTAGGATACTTAAGCTGACATTGTTTGGTAAGTATAGATGCTTGTCTCTTCTTTTAATAATGCTTATCAAAATTCTGGCAGTGGATTTCACTGGAAAGTACTAAAAACTTTCAGCTTTCACCTTAGAAAAATGAAATCAGTAAATTAAAAATACGGTCTTAATACATGATATTAATTTCTGTTTCATATGACATCTGAACTTAGGGAAACTGAAACTATTTCTCTTTATAGGCTTACTTAAAGTATGTTATATGCATATTATATATCCACACACACAGAATCACAGAATCCTAAGGGTTGGAAGGGACCTCAAAAGATCATCTAGTCCAACCCTCCTGCAAGAGCACGGTAACCTAGAGTACATCACACAGGAACTTGTCCAGGCGGTCCTTGAATATCTCCAACGTAGGAGACTCCACAACCCCCCTGGGCAACCTGTTCCAGTGCTCTGTCACTCTCACAGCAAAGAAATTTTTCCTGATGTTCACATGGAATCTTCTGTGCTCCAGTTTACACCCATTGCCCCTTGTCCTGTCACTGGACATCCCTGAAAAAAACCTAGCTCCATCATCCTGACACTCACCCTTTACATATTTGTAAACATTGATGAAGTCACCCCTCAGTCTCCTCTTCTCCAAGCTAAAGAGTCCCAGCTCCCTCAGCCTCTCCTCATAAGAGAGATGTTCCATTCCCTTAATCATCTTTGTAGCTCTGCGCTGGACTCTTTCAAGCAATTCCCTGTCCTTCTTGAACTGTGGGGCCCAGAACTGGACACAATATTCCAGATGCGGCCTCACCAAGGCAAAGTAGAGGGGGAGGAGAACCTCTCTTGACCTATTAACCACACCCTTTCTAATGCACCCTAGGATGCCATTGGCCTTCTTGGCCACAAGGGCACATTGCTGGCTCATGGTCATCCTCCTATCCACCAGGACCCCCAGGTCCCTTTCCCCTTCACTGCTGTCCAGCAGGTCAGCCCCCAACCTGTACTGGTACATGGGGTTGTTCTTCCCCAGATTCAAGACTCTACACTTGCCCTTGTTGAATTTCATCAAGTTCCTCTCCGCCCAACTCTCCAGCCTGTCCAGGTCTCGCTGAATGGCAACACAGCCCTCTGGTGTGTCAGCCACTCCTCCTAGTTTAGTATCATCAGCAGATTTGCTGAGGGTACATTCAGTTCCCTCATCCAGGTTGTTGATGAAAATATTAAACAGCACTGGTCCCAGTACTGACCCCTGAGGGACTCCACTAGTCACAGACCTCCAGCTAGATTCTGCCCCATTGACCACAACTCTCTGCCTTCTTCTTTCCAACCAGTTCTTGATCCACCTCACTACCTGATCATCAAGCCCACACTTCCTTAGCTTATCTATGAGGATGCTGTGGGAGACAGTATCAAATGCCTTACTGAAATCAAGAAAAACCACATCTACCACTCTACCATCACCCATCCACCTAGTTACTTGCTCATAGAAGGCTATAAGGTTGGTCAGACATGACTTCCCCTTGGTAAAGCCATGTTGGCTGCTCTTAATGACCCCCTCATCCTTGATATGTCTAGAGATGGTGTCAAGAATAAGTTGTTCCATCACCTTTCCAGGGATGGAGGTAAGGCTGACCGGTCTATAATTACCGGGGTCCTCCTTCTTGCCCTTCTTATAGACTGGCGTGACATTTGCCATCCTCCAATCCTCAGGCACCTCACCTGTTTCGCACGATTTACCAAAGATGATGGAGAGTGGCTCAGCAATGACCTCCGCCAGCTCTCTCAGCACCCGCGGGTGTTTTCCATCCGGACCCATCGATTTATAGATGTCCAGATTACTTAACTGATCTCTAACTCAATCCTCATCTACCAAGGCAACCTCCTCCTTTATCCTGACTCCTTCCGGGGCTATAGGAATCTGGGTCCCCCAGGGAGAGTCTGCAGGAGTAAAGACAGAGGCAAAGAAGGCATTCAACACCTCTGCCTTCTTTATATCCTCTGTCTCCAGGGCACCCACCTTATTCAGCAGTGGGCCTATACTGCTTCTTGTGTTAGTTTTATTTGCTATGTATTTGAAGAAGCCCTTTCTATTGTCCTTGACCCGACTTGCCGGATTAAGTTCCAAGGAGGCCTTAGCTGTCCTAACTGCTTCCCTGCATCCTCTAACAGCTGTCCTGTATTCCTCCCAAGTGGCCAGCCCCTCCTTCCGTAATCCATAGATTCTCTTTTTCTGTATGAGTTTGCCCAGCAGTTCCTTGTTTAACCATGCTGGTCTCCTGGCTCCCCTACTTGACTTCCTACTCATTGGGACACTCTGATCCTGAGCTTTGAAGAAGTGGTCCTTGAATGCTGACCAACTATCTTGAGCCCCTTTACTGCCTAGTACCCTTTGCCATGATACTTCCCTTAGTAATTGATTGAAGAGGCCAAAGTTTGCCCTTCGGAAATCCAGAAACGTGGCCTTGCTAGGTATTCTCTTCCTCCCACACAAGATCCTAAACTTCACCATCTCTTGGTCACTGCAGCCCAGGCTGCCATTGACTGTCACTACTTCAACCAGACCCTCCTTGTTGGTGAGTACCAGATCCAGCAGCACTCCTCTCCTAGTTGGTTTGTCCACCATTTGCATTAAGAAGTTATCATCAATGCACTGGAGGAACCTCCTAGACTGTGAATGACTGGCTGTGTAAGTCTTCCAGCAAATATCCGGGTAGTTAAAATCCCCCATAAGGACCAAGGCATGTAGTCGTGAGGCTGCTTTCAATTGCCTGTAGAAAGCCTCATCAACTCCTTCATCCTGATCAGGAGGTCTATAATAGACCCCCACAACTCTGCCATCTGTACCAGCCTGTCCCTTAATTCGCACCCACAGACTTTCCACTTGGTCCTCATCTGCCCCTGGACAGAACTCAATACATTCTAGTCGCTCTTTCACATAAAGAGCAACTCCACCACCTCGCTTTGCTGATCTGTCTTTCCTAAAAAGGACATAGCCATCCATAACCACATTCCAGTCATGTGAGCTGTCCCACCATGTCTCTGTAATTGCCACCAGGTCATAACCTTTAGACCGCACACAGACTTCTAACTCCTCCTATTTATTCCCCATGCTGTGTGCATTGGTGTACAGGCATTTCAGGGAGCGAACAGAGCACGCTAGTGGCACCCTTGGAAGGTGGGAGGCCTTCTGGTATTCATTCATACTAGAACATTGCCCCACTAGTTCAGACCCAGCTACAACCCCCTCGCACTTCAAATCTAACCTAGAGCTCTGTGAGTGAGCTCTACTAACTCTTGCCCAGGTACCCTTTTTCCCCTGCAGGACAGGGTTTAAACAACTACCCTTTCCCTCAAATGAAACAATAGATTGAGAGTTCTCCCTAGTCTGCCATTCTTCAAGCCCTAGCATGTTTCTCTTGGGCTTGTCCCCAACAGGCCCAGTTATCTCCCCTTCCCCCTTCCTACCTAGTTTAAAGCCCTGTCAGTGAGCCCTGCTAACTCCTGCCCCAGAAACCTTCTCTCCCTCTGGGACTGATGAATCTCACCTGCCACCAGCAAACCAGGTGTCTCATATAGCAGCCTATGATTGAAAAACCCAAACCCCTGCCTTTGGCACCAGTCCTGTGGCCATACATTAATCTGCAGTCTCTTCCTGTTTATCTCTTCACCTTTGCTTGTAACGGGTATGGAGGCAAACAACACTTGCGCTCCAGACCCTCTAACCAGCCGTCCCAGGGCCCTGAAGTCTCTCTTCATTGCCCTTGCCCTGCTTGTAATAATTTCATCACTGCCAACCATAACACAGACATAGTGTTTTTTTTCTTAATGTTATTTTCCATGTTAACCCCACTCTAGCATTTGTGATGTTTTCTTCACAGGTGCATGAGAAATCTAAGATGATGGTCATTCTGCAGTGTTACTAGTCCACTGCTAAAAACTAACATTAATTGCTTAAAGCTGAATAGACTTCAATATTTATCTGTCAGCCTTTGTATAAAATAGTCCTTTATTTTCAAGCTACTATTGGTAAATTAGCATATAGTTCCAAGGAATAGCAAGCAGCTATTAACTTGGACACTGACCTTATTCATGAACTGCAGCAGTTGTGTTTACCTTAATTCTAAAGGCACTTTCTAAAGGGACAGCTTTCCACAACCAAGTATGATATTTGTATTGGTCAGGGTATGTTCCTGGAAATGAGGAAACAATGCAGAAGACTTTACTCTGCAGTTCTGGTACTGGGGATTATGTTGAACTGAGATAATATTAAAGGAACTGTAAACTCCAGAATGAGTTCAATCTGTGTTGACTAAACTTTAAAGTTTGTCACTTTAAACTCCACGGAGGATGATGATGCTACAAGCAAGTAAAAGTTGGGATTTTTATTTTTTTTTTAACTGGATTTCAAAATATTACTGCAGACTTAAATTTATCTAATTGCTGTTTTGCAGTGAATGGACAACCAAGACCCCTAGAATCTAATCAGGTGAAACACCTGCGTCGAGAGCTGATAGAACTTCGCAATAAAGTCAATCGTTTACTGGACTGTTTAGAACCACCAGCTGAACCAGGCCTTTCCACTAACCTGCCTGACAGTGGTAGGTAGCCTGGCAAAGCATTGTTTGGTTTGATTTGCAGAGTTGGGTGCTGTTTAACAAAGTAAAAAATGGAGTCTTGAATATTGGTTGTGATAATTTGTAGTTGTTGCTTGATGGTTCAGAACATAATTTTTAATGCTTTCTATTTGAGAGACAGAATTTTTATACAAATTACCTGGAGTAAAACACTAAGCTAATTTGGGAATAAAACTAAAGTCTTGAGTTTCTGTGCTGTGTATGAAAAGGCTTTAACTAACACTTTTGAGTCACAACATTTTGAGAGACCTTTGAGCTGAATTAATAGCTTGTTCCTGAATAGTTCTTGCTCCTAGCTTAGCACTCCCAGTGCTTACTCTGGGCTAGCTGTGGTGCTTATCTTGTCATGTTGCTGAGAGAGTTTGATTCACTAAAACAGTAAAAAGTGAATTCAGCGAAAATTATATCTACTTTCTTTGCCAGGTTAGGAAATTGAATCCACATATTTTGAGTTCATAGCTGTCTCAGGGTAAGAAGCACAAGTGTGTAGGTAGGGATGGGAAAGGCTTATAGGGAGAGAGCAGAATGGGAAAGGATTCTCCCAGTTAGGAGGCGCTGATCTCCTAGCTTAGGGGTGTTGTACTGTAAAAACTGTACCTCTGTGTGCTTAGCTACAGATTCTGGGTAGTCTGGGCACAGAAAATAATCACACAAAGTCGTGGAGTACAGCATTCTGAGTAAAGAGGCAAATCAAGAACTCCAACCTTTCTTTTAGGAAATGCTGCTTTTGTATTTTAGAGTGTAAACAAAGCTAGCCAGTCTAAACCCTGTCTGCACTTGTTTTTAAGAGAAAAAGTGGCACCTGCTATGTAAGAGGGTTCTTGAGTGCTTCACTGCTAGCCGTACAATTGCAAAATGATAAATTTTACCTGTCAGTTTAGAAAGAATTCAGGGAGAAGGGGACAGAAGAAAAACAGCTTCCTATAATAAACTGGAACCTATACTATAAGTTATCTTAATTTTGAATTCTCTGTAGGCAGGATGTACCACAACAATATGTTTGAAGCAGGAAACTTGTATCTTTGAATTGAGAGTGATACAAGATACTCCGCAGTGTCAGTGTATCTTCAAGTAACTGTGTAATGAAACTTAAACTCTCTGATTCAGCACATTTTGAGATACAACACTGATTCATCACTGTTTTATTAACATAAGAATTTCAAAAATTAAAATATTCCTCACCCCCCCAAACTATGCAATTCAAAGTTGCTGTAGTACAGTGCATACATATGATTGTATTTCAGATCTTGGGAATTAATAATGGGGCATTTTGTTTTGTAGATGCTGTAGATGGCAGGGAAGAAAAGCCTGCTGCTGCTGACTCTAGTGTTAAGCCATCTACTCAAGTCATAGCAGCAAGCATGTCTGCATTTGATCCGCTGAAGAACCAGGATGAAATCAGCAAGAATGTCATGTCAGCATTTGGCTTGACAGATGATCAGGTGTCAGGTAAGAATATGTCTTACAAAAAGGAAAGCAAAACCTGTTTGTAATCAGTGACTCGAATCTTGATTTGTAACAAAGCATCTTATTTTGGATATATTGAGCTGTCTTCAGTATTTGCTATTTCTTCTCAGAATTCCAAAACTTGGTATGTTAAGGTGTTATAAATGTGTTTGCTCACTTGTGTATAGAAAATGTTGAAATACTGCTTTTGTTTTTAGCAGTGTGCTTTAGCTTGGAGTAGAAAATGGCTTACTTATTTTACTAAAAAAATATAAATACTTATTTAAATTTATTGTGTAGACTAAGTTAACTGGTATCTGCCAGTGATAAGAAAAGAGTATCCACTGCTCTGCTTTAGGTTTGACCTTACAGTTCATTTTCTTGGCTTGTGTTTTGCTGTGTGGGTCAGTTGGAATGTTTTGTATGACCCTGCCTTTTCTCTGTTCCATTTCAAAAGTAAATAGTGTTCACTTCTTTACTGTTAACAAAAAGGAATGGTATACTTGTCTGAACTGTATTTATTCTTGAAGAGCTGCATGGCTGCTGGCCCTACCTAGTAGTAGAATGCTAAACATAGAAAAACTGATTATACTAAACAATGCAGTCAAGACAGGATAACTGAAGTTAAAAAAGCAATGTAGAATATAATTGGGAGTGATGCAGAATATAGAGAAGTGATTTTTCACAGAATCTGGGGGTCTGGCAAAGTTCAGTGTAGCATTGAAACCTGAAGATAAAACTGCTTTTAGCTAATGGGATGTACTCTCAACTTTAGGGCAAGTAAATTTTATGTGATGTATGAAGTGACAATGCAGGTGGGTAAAGGAATAGCAACTGGAGCTTTTTTCTGCAGTATAGCTGCCTTGGCAAAAGTGTGTGGTGGTAGGAAAGGAACTGCACTGTGTGATTGCAGCTGTGCAGGATCCAAAGCTGTACCCACAGACAGAGTGGCTGTCTTCAAGTTGGAGTACTGGTCTGTGGATCAGGCCTATTGTATGATGTTCCTCCATGGCACGTATTTTGTATTGTCACAACACAGTTATTTCACAAACCAGGTAAAGGTTTGATGTTTTTTGATAACTTACACTGGGTTGTCTCTGAACAATGAAGTGATGGAGTACAGCATTCAGTACAACTAGCGTAAAACTGGAGCTTACTGTTGAAGGAGTGGTTTTGTCTTGTTATAAAGCCTCAGTGTCACTTCATGCTTCAATCACAGCTTCAATGTTTATGTGTCTCCATAAATTTTTCTGATTGAGTGGGCTTGACCATGCTTCAAATGTACAAAGAGCTTCGCAGAGGATTAAGCAGGATATAAGAAATCCCGTTTCTAAAGCTATAATCCTGCAGTTATGTATATAAAGGCAAAACCAGAAGTAGGCAGATTTGATTCCTTTTCTCCCTGATAAGGGTACCATGCAAACACAATTAATGGCTTCTTAAAAGTGAACTTGCAGCAATTCTAATGCTTGTGCTTAACTTTAGGCATGTATTTTAAAGTAGCATCTCATAGGTAGCATTCATATAGCTAGGAGCTGGGAAGATCTGTGTGGACCACAGTAAAACTCTAGTGCATTTGAACAGTTTCACACAGCCTTTCACCTTTGGTCCAGATGAGAAAGAATAGGTACGTAGGTGCATGTGCTGTCCAAACATAGCAAGTCTTCAGTGGACATATGCAAGGTTAATGCCTGAAGCAGTGGAAGAAGCATGTTATGGAGGGGTTTATCCCACAGATGGGTCAGGTTTCTTGGAAAGATGAAATCTGAGTTGTCTAAAGACAGGTTGAAAATTCCCCCCCATATATTCACAGGAGAGTTTAGGTTTTGCAAATATATGTGGAGTTCTAGCTTGGGTGTGACTCTCAGATGGAAATCTATGGAAAACTGAAAAAAAAGGTTAAAAACTTTGCAAAGGAATGGTCTTGTGCAAGAGTTTTAATTCAAACTCTGTTAGTTTGAAGTGCTGTACGTTGTCCTTGCTCCTCTAGGACCACCCAGTGCCCCTGCAGAAGAGAGATCGGGAACACCAGACAGCATTGCTTCTTCCTCTTCTGCAGCCCACCCACCTGGGGTTCAGACACACCAGCCACCCTACCCTGGCACACAGCCACAGACTGGTCAGGTGGAAGGTAAGGATCATGTTTTCTGCTGTGTAACGCATGAATGATGGTGTCTGAATCTGAGGGATCAGCAGTTATAACTTCGTATTAGCAGCCCAAAGTCAATACCAAACTACAAAATCATCTGTTCCAATCGGCAGAAAAGCTTTTTTCCTGAAGTGCTGTTCAGCATAGAAACAGCAGATGGAGCAACAGCTTTATGTAAAGGTAGGTGATGTGAGGCGAAGAGGATTTTCGTGGTACTGTTTTCTACTTGTATCTGTGCTTACTTTACTGTAAGTCAGATTTATATAGGCTGCACGATACAGCTGAAGATCGTAGGTCCTGTCATGCTCTGTGTGCTGAATGAAGCTTTTACTCAGCTGAGTTTGTTGGCTTGCCTTCTGTGAATTAAAAATGTTGTTTACTCTTAATTTCTGTCTAACAAACCAGAGCCACTATTTCATTGCTTCTTTATTATGTACAGCTCTGGGCTAGTCAGGTTAAAGCTTGTGACTATCTCACTGCTTTATAGTTTTTCTGTGTAACCCTTGAGAGCCTCAGCTGGCTCTCCTTTAAGGCTTAAGGTCTTAACTCTGGTGTGCAGATTCCTTTATACTATGCCCTTTTACACTTTTTTTTTTCTTCTAAAAATAAACCTGTTCAGAGGTTTGCAATGTTTGGGCATCATTGTTCTACTGATCTTTCTGAAGAGCACTTAGCCTTCAGGTCTGCATAGTTTTGGAGGAAACTGTCTGTGTAATGACTTTGGTATTTCTACCTCGGTATGAAGTACAATGTAAAGTTGTTTCTGTGCTAGTGTAGAAACAAGTTGCAGCCCTTTGATGCTTTCTGTACTGAGATAATGCTGAGACACTTGAGAGGCATTACTGAGGAGGATCACGGTATCCACAGTCACTTGGAATGTGTTGGCTGAAGGGCACTGTAACATTCTGACATTGTTGCAGAGCATTTGAACAATTCTTAGTTACAGATAATATTTAAGCAGGCATGAATGCTGTTGGTTGCAGTAAAGCTTATAAAACACTTATTTTGCTGCTTTCAGCTTTTGTGGTTTTTTTTTCCTTTTTTTTTTTTTCCTTGCTTCTGTATAAATTATTCAGGTGATATGAAGAAACATCAAGAGACGTCTTTGTAGCTTAAAGATACAGTTCTTCTGTCAGTAACAAGAAAACTTAATATTAAAAAAATATATGCCCTCAGTTACTGAACTTGCATTTTATGAATTTAGTCTTTTTACTTCCGTACAGTAACGTACGAGGTTTTAAGTGTCGATGTTAAACTAGACTGAAACAAATGAAATGCTCTAAAGCACTACCAGCACTAGGTTGGAATCCTGACTGGCTGCTAGCATCAGGGAAGGGAAAAAATACTTGTTTCAGCAGAACTCACCGTACTTGGGAAAGAAGTTGTCAAGGCTCATGTTTCAGAGTAGATATAATGATTTTCTGAACTTGGGTTGAGGAAAGTAGAGTGCTTTTTTTTTTTTTCTGTTTGTATTTTTAAACACTGAACTGTGCTATGCCTTTGCCCAAGTCCTTTTTTATTTTTAGGTAAACGTACAACTGCAATAATTGTGAAGGTTTTGGTCTGCAGCTTATGCAGTCCTTATTATTGCCACTGAATACGTTAAGTATTGATTAGATTCACACTATGAATAAAATAGGTTCGGTTCTTGAAGAGATCAGAAGTCATTATTGCACTTTGTTCATCAGCAATACTAGTGGCAGGGCTTATGCTGTGCCTTTATGTGCATGGTAAATACTGGTCTCTTACCAAAGCTGTGTAATATGTGTGTAATTATCAACCTGAGGTTTGATTTTTAATTAACTAAGTTGCTTTTACCCAAAGTGTAAAGACTTTACTTTGAAACAGGGAGTAGCTTTCCATATTTCACTGATAGCACCACAGTCCAGTGGTAATTTGGGGACCTGTGCTGTCCCATAAGAACCAGTGCAGGACCATGGCCCAGACAGATCTTTGGCTAAGTTTTGATGGTCAGGTTTTCAGCAGGCTGGTCTGGTTTTCAACAGAACATGTTCTTGTTATAAACTAGTTTTAAAATACTAGTTCACTTCTGAAAAACCCAAAATACCCCAAGCTGTGCTTCTGCCCCATCTTCCCAGTGTTTGCTGAGGAAACTTCAAGAGAAAAAGGAGGCTTACGAAAGGTGGAAGCAAGGACAGGCAGCCTGGGAAAACACAGGGATGTTGTCTGGGGAGCTAGGGACCAGGTTAGGAAACCTAAGGCCCAGTTAGAATTAAACTTGGCTAAGGATGTGACAGATAACAGGAAGAGATTCTGTAGTTACATTGCAAATAAAAGACAGACTAGTGACAATGTGGGCCTTCTTCGGAAGCTATCAGGAGAACTGGCTACCCTGGATTTGGAGAAGGCTGGGGTTCTTAATGACTTCTTTGCCTCAGTCTTCACTGGCAAATGCTCTGACCACACCACCCAAGCCTAGGAAGGGAGACGCAGGGACTGTGAGAATGAAGACCGTAGGCCTACTATAGGAGAGCATTTGGTTCAAGACCATCTTAAGAACCTGAATGTGCAGAAGTCCATGGGACCTGATGAAATCCATCCACAGGTCCTGAAGGAGCCGGCAAATGAAGTTGCTAAGCCATCATATTTGAAAAACCATGGCAGTCAGGTGAAGTTCCTGATGACTGGAAAAAGGGAAATACAACCCCCATTTTCAAGAAGGAGAAAATGGATGACCCAGGGAACTACAGCCCAGTCAGTTTCACGTCTGTGCCTGGCAAAATCTTGGAGCAGATTCTCCTGGAAGGCATGCTAAGGCACATGAAAATCAACAAGGTACTTGGTGACAGCCAGCATGGCTTCACTAAGGGGAAATCCTGCCTGACCAATTTGGTGGCCTTCTATGATGGGGCTGCAGAACTGTTGAACAGGGGTAGTGCAGTGGATGTTACCCACCTAAACTTGTGTAAAGCATTCGACACTGTCCCGCATGACATCCTTGTCTCTATATTGGAGAGACATCAATTTGATAGATGGACCACTCGGTGGATAAAGAGCTGACTGGATGGCCACACGCAAAGAGTTGTGGCTCAATGTCCAGCTGGAGACCAGTAACGAGTGGTGTTCCTCAGGGATTGGTGTTGGGACCGGTCTTGTTCAACATCTTTGTCAGTGACATGGACAGTGGGATTGAGTGTGCCCTCAGCAAGTTTGCCAATGACACCAAGCTGTGTGGTTTGGTTGATACACTGGAGGGAAGGAATGCCATCCAGAGGGACCTTGACATGCTTGTGAGGTGGGCTGATGCCAACCTCATGAAGTTTAACCGTGTCAGCTGCAAGGTCCTACACCTGGGTCGGAGCAATCCCAGGCACAGCTACAGGTTGGGCAGAGAAGAGATTCAGAGCAGCCCTGCAGAGAAGGACTTGGGAATGTTGGTCAAGGAGAAGCTTAATATGAGCCAGCAGTGTGAGCTCGCAGCCCAGAAAGCCAACTGTAATCAAAAGGAGCATGAACAGCAGGTCGAAGGAGGTAATCCTGCCACTCTACTCTGCTCTTGTGAGACCTCACTTGGAGTATTGTGTGCAGTTGTGGTGTCCTCAACATAAAAAGGACATGGTACTGTTGGAACAAGTCCAGAGGAGGGCCACGAGGATGATGAGGGGACTGGAGCACCTCCTCTATGAAGACAGGCTGAGAAAGTTGGGGCTGTTCAGCCTGGAAAAGGCTGTGTGGAGACCTCATAGCAGCCTTCCAGTATCTGAAGGGGGCCTATAGGGATGCTGGGGAAGGACTCTTCATTAGGGACTGTAGTGATAGGACAAGGGGTAACGGATTAAAACTTAAACAGGGGAAGTTTAGATTGGGTGTAAGGAAGAAGTTCTTTAAGGGTGTTGAGGCACTGGAATGAGTTGCCCAAGGAAGTTGTGAATGCTCCATCCCTGGCAGTGTTCAAGGCCAGGCTGGGCAGAGCCTTGGGTGATGTGGTTTAGTGTGAGTTGTCCCTGCCCACAGCAGGGGGGTTGGAACTAGATGATCTTAAGGTTCTTTCCAACCCTAACTATTTTATGATTCTATGATTCTGTTTTGAGGATACAAGTAAAAAGGTGATGCCCATCATGTGACAATCATTTTGGTTATACCAGGGATTTTTTTTTTAATGGCATTTTGGCAAATAGATGATACTGAAAAAGACATTTCAGCGTAGTGCTGTCTCATCCTGCATGCCTGTGCTTTTGTACCACTAAATACGCTCACTGAACAGAACCAGTTCTGTACAGATGTGAATGCTTTTTTAGTGTTTGCTGAAATGGGTGCGAAGTTCGTTCTTGTAAGCACTTCATGATCTCTAGGGAAGAGAATATTGTGTGAATACACCTATTTGTCTTTTTTTCTGAATCAGGCTAAAACGGCTGTTGTCAGTGCACAGGAACAATGGTAAATGCTGGCAGATCCTTGACTGCAGTTAAGTGCTGCTTAAGTACAAAACCAGACACTGATGCTGTAGCTCATCTTGGCTTCAGAGTAGAACTCCAGTGAGAGGGGAAAACTCTGTATTTAAGCACCAACTGGATCCCTGACTGCCGTCATGGCTGTAACAACGACACTGGGACAATTCTCTGGTCCTCACTAAAGCTTCTACCCTGGTGAAGACAGGCAGCCTTCCCAGGTTTGGAAAAGCTCCCTGCTGTGACAGAGTGTTAGAGCAGGGCTGTCTTTCACAGCACTTTACTCGGAGAGTCCAGCAGGTGCCAGTGTGGTACCTTAGCCTGTAGGTAACCTGAGACAGGCAGCCTCTTGCTGCTTCTCCCAGAACATCCTCTTCACAGCTGAGTTTAAGCAACAGAAAACATGCTTTCTGAGTCTCTCATTCTTAATTATCAAGCTAACAGGCTTAAATTCTTTCAAGCCTTGTGTTTAGCACTCTCTTCATCACACAATAGCTGCATACCAAATAATATTTTGATCACTTTAGTGTGAATGTAAGATACCGTTGATAGGAGTCAATCTGCATATCACTGTTGCTTTCAAGCTGCAAGTAAGGCAGAGGAAAAAAAGAAACACAGAGTTCTTTTAAAGCAGTGTGCACAGGGTCTGGGAGGACTTGGAGCAGAGCTGAGTTGCATTTGTCTTGGTGCAGTTTAGAAGATAGGCTTTACAGTGTATTTATACCCATGCTGCTTTTTGCAGAATGAATAGCAGTAGGGTAATGCTTGAAGTTGCTAGAGTAACGGTGAAGTTTCCATGTCTGCTCCAGCTCAGCGAAGCTTTAATTGTGACAGATAATTGCTTTTGTTCTGTGACTGTTCCTGTTAACTAAATTGAAAAAGGGCAGAAGCATAAAGCCTGAACAAGGCCTATAGGTGAAGTCTGAACCAATATTCTGCCTCTTCTCGCCAAGAAGTTCGGAGCAGTGAGTTTAGGAAAACTTCACACTGAATTGGAATACCCAAGCTTAAGAATGATCTTATTTCTGCTTTAGGGTGTATGCCCCAGCTCTCTTTACGAAAACCTGGCTTACAGCAAGTCAGATACTGAGAGACCAGTGACTTTTCTGGAAGATGTGGTCAGAATAAATAATGTACTACTCTGCTTATAGTGCTTCAATGCAGAAATGGTCTTAAAAATCTAATATAAACAGACAATCCGAGGACATGTTAAACTTTTGAAGTACTTTAATTTACCATGCAAGTTCTGGAGCAGTTATCCAGATGCTCAAAGAGTCCTCCTCTGTTACCCACTAGAGTGGCGCTGATTAAGATGCATGTCTTCTGGCATCTTCTGAACATGTGAAATGGTCTCATGTGCTGAATTAGAACTATTTATTCAGTTGGAGATAGACAAGCAGCATTTAATTTTTAGAACAGCATGGTTCAGAAGCTAAAATCTGTAGATGGATTTCAGTTGGTAACTGCTACAGCTAACACTCAGGTGGAACACATATATTCAAACTTCACCCACCATGTTCAGGTTTCTTGAAAAGACATTTTTACATGTTGTAAGAGAGTTTGTTTCTGTGATTTTGAGTTGTTAGGATGTTGTTCATTGTGTGTTTGTAACATAGCTAGGGTGCTGGCCTTCAACTAAATACGTTTTTAATCCATAGGTCAGATGTATCAGCAGTACCAACAGCCTGGTTACCCTGCCCAGCAGCCGCAGGCTCAGCCTCAGCAGCAGTATGGTATGCAGTACCCAGGTAAGCAGCTTGCTCGGTTCCTGAGCCTGAGGCAGGTCAGGATGCTGAGAAGCCACAGTACCCCCGCTTCTGACGGGAACTGGTACAATTCAGAAATCACTAGAAGAGAACACCGTAGCTGTCTATATTTTTTAATACACTTTTGGAGTTGTGGTGTCTATCCTACTTGGTTGTGACCCAGAGCAGACTTCATTATTAATCAGCAGAATGTGTTGTTAGAAAGGTAGGCGAAATTAATCACCTGAAGTATGAACCATTGTCAGGATTAACTTCTGCAGTCTTGGGATTCTGGCAAGTGACTGAAAGATCTTAATTTAGCTAACTTAAATACCATAGGTATATAAAGATGGCCCTTATTTCTTGCATCTAGAATGATCTTCATGTACAAAATCTAGCAGGTTGAACACTGATTATAGCTGTCATTAACTCCTTAGCTATTATAAGTACTGTAAATTTCTGAGAAACTTTCAGGTGATAGGCTTTTTAGTTGTTGATTTTGCTGATGCCTCAGGTAAAGCTGCCAGTAGACTTTTAGCAAAAGTACTAAAAACTTCCATTTCTTCATAAATTCCATTTCTTCTTTTCCATTTATGAAGAAATTCCATTTCTTCATAAAGAGATATATTCACTTATTTTGGATAGAAGAACCCTAGAAAACTTGGAACTGAAGGTTTAGGCCCCCACCCTTGTTCCTGTGCACTGTGTGAGAGCAGATTAATTTGGGTCTCTAAATGGTACCTTGTTCCCTGCAGATTTCTTGCCCCCTGCCCCCCCATGTATAATTAGAAGACAGTGACAGACTTTGTGAAGTGTAATTAGGAGGTAGCAAGCCTGTTGGAAGTAGAAGGGTCTGTCTGACGTTCTTTAGACTTAAAAACTGTGAGGGGGTAGTTTCCATCTGGTTTCTAGTCATATTCTACCATCACGCAATCTATTTTTTTTACTGGAGAAGTTCCTGTGAAAGCTGTAGTGCAGGGTGAGATTCTGCATTCTAATCTACGTCATCCTCACCTAAGAATGAAACACCACCACGACTGATCTCAGTGCCTCTGCTTCTCGTAACTTAGTTCTCAGTGAACTTGATCTTTCAGAAACAGCCTTTTTCCTTTGGAGGACGTAGCGACAGCAGCCTTTGGAGATCTTGCCTCAAAGGGTTTCTTGTTTGTTTTGCTGTTGTTCCCCTGAGTATTGTCTCCTTTGAAACCCCTGTTCCCCGAGAATGGGATCTATTCCCAACTCTTGTACATCTACCAGGAACAAAGTGGCAATTTACTCATGATAGTAAAACCAGACCCTTCAGAGGTTTGTCTCATGAGTAAATGTTGATCTGGGTTTCAAGGTGAGTTTATTTACTCCAGTGCATTGTTCAGTCCTTACTCTTTCTGTTCAGGGCTATGCACTCTTAATAATTTGTGTGTCTGGTGTTTAATGCTGACAGGATTCCAGTCACTGGAGAGGTTTCATTGCAAGTAGCTGCAGGTGTGTTTCATGGTGGATGAAAGTAGCTGTTTCTTCGTAAAAGCAGCTGTGTCATTTTGAAGCTTTCAATAAGGGAAATTTCCTCTGGGAAGCTGCTTTTATACATAAAAATCAAGTTTGGGACTTGATGGACATGTTTAAATGGAAGTTCTGTGCTGAAGTATTGTGTTCTGCACAGCTTTCTCATATTGAGCTCTAAAGAACTGAAAAACACACATGACTTGATCAAAGGCATGACTTAAATTTACACCCTGACAATTTTTTCATGACAGAATAGTTTTGAGTTTTTATTTGGGGGAAAGGTTGCATTTTGTCTCATTTGCTAATGACAGCTTTTATTTTTCATGTGATGTGATGGTAAAATACTATTTGTTGGGGTTTTAATTTCTTGTCAGTCATGAGAAAACCATTTTGTAGTGACTGTTTTTGGTGTTGCTGTGCTGCCAGGGTAGGGTCCTGACAACCAGGCAGTGTGCTTATGTGCAAGGCAGGAACAATTGCAGTTGCTTCTTGGTTTGCCCTCCCTGTGCTTCCTGCGTTGTTTTGTGTTTGTCACTGTAAACAAGTGGAAAACAAAAGCTCTTTCTGCTAGTGCCGCGGTTCGCTGCGCTCTCACCACTTTGCTCTTTGCCTTTCCAGCAGGCTACAGCCAGTCGCAGCCCCCCTCGCAGCAAGCCCAGCAGTTCCCGGCCTACACCCAGCCTGCGACCGCGACTGCGGCTCCGGCCCCGGCTGCCGCCGCCTTCCCGAGCCCGGCGCAGCAGGTGCCGCCGGCGGCAGCGGCGGCGCAGTTCGCGGGGGGTGGTTACCCGCCGCAGGCATACGGCTCTGCGCCGCCTGCACAGCCCAGCCCTTATGGCGGCGGCGGCCCCGGCTCCCAGGCACCGGCCGGCACCTACCAGCCGCGGCCCGGCTTCAGCCCCTCGCCCAGTGGGCCCAACCCCTACGCCCGCAGCCGGCCGCCCTTCGGCCCCCAGGGCTATGCCCAGCCTGGACCTGGCTACCGGTAAGGAGGTACTGGCCTGGGCAGCTGTGACTCCATCCTGAGCTACTCCAGGTATTTCAACTGAGGTTCCAAAACTGTAACAAGGCAAAACTGTAGCTGTTAATTCAATTCTGCTGGGGGAGGGGAATGACCAATCTTTTCTGCTTCAAATTGTACCTGCTTCCTCATTTAATTTGGGGCTGGGTGGTTTTGAGGAAACACTTCCTAAGTGTCTGTAAAGTGATTGACGTTCTAGCTTGCCTTTTGTGAAGGACAGGAACAGTAGCCCACTTACCAGGCTTGGTTTTACTAATACCATGATGTACTAAATTAGATTGATTCTGGAGGTAAAACTAGATGTATTATAAATTGTAATGCTCACATGGAAAACTAATAAACCCCCTGAATCTATTAAATGCCTGGTCTTGATTTGAGAGCTGAGAATGCTGAACACCGTAACTGGGCGCATGGTGGATCTGCAGCCACCAAGGTGAAGATCAGGCATGCCCAGGTTGGTAGGAGAAGAGACAAGAGTTTTAGGTGTGTAAATGGAGAAGGGGTTGTCCATAGAGCCTGCTCTTGCAGAGATTACGCAGCAGTAGGTGGTTCTGTTCTGTCTGCTGTTCCTAACTGCCATGTAGCCCTCGTACCAAATGAGCAGGAACCAATGCACATCTTAAAGCCCCATATCAATTTTGCTTTTAACAGGAGCAGGGGAGAACTGCTTTACTGCTTGAAAATTTAGACCAAATACATATTTTTAAAACAGAACTCTTAAAAATGAACAACTTTCCACAAGTTCTTTGCCGCTCAGAAAAATCTGAGAATGCCATTCTAGTGACTTGGTTCGGAGCCAAGAAAAACCAGATCAAGAGCTGTAGCAGTTTCAGTGGCACATGTGACAGCAGAGGGCAAAGCATTCTCCCAGCTAATATTTTCCATCTTATGGATTCTAGGAATACATAAAACTAAGCAGGAAATCTAAAAACCAAAACTGGAGTAAGCTGCTTGAACTCTCATAAAGACAACTTAGGAATTAAGGAGTGAATAAATTTCCTTCCTTGAGGACCTCCCTGTTCCCCTGGAAGCTGCACCTCCTGCTGTTTACGCTCTCCTCAGCCCTAATGCCTATGGGGCTGGTCACACCAGTCCAGAACAAACTGCTTGCTGAAGTAAACAGCATTTGCCACAGGAGCTAGTATTTCTTTTCATGGAAAACTCTGAAGAAAACCACTTGATTAAAAAATACTTTATTAGGAGTACAGTGTACCTGCAATGTACTTTATAAGGCATTTTCTATAAATGACTATTTCTACTATATATATATCTGGCTGTTCCTGTTCATATTTTTCAAATACTTTAGTAATGTTGTGAATAACACCTTTAGAAAAACCTACATCTCTTTAGTTCATAAATGGTCAAGCAGTACAAGTAGCTTTGGGAGAGGTTTTAATTAACTGTAAGGCAGTTTTAAAGTTAAGTTATCACTCTTTCCCCTTTGTCCCCAGTGAACACTTTCTTGTTTTAAATAAACCGATTATGCTGTAACAACAATAGCTTATTATTTTCCCATTTCATCTCTCTTTCCAAGCCCCCTGTATGTACACTTAGCTTTTGAGCCAGGAAGTCTCAGCCTCCAAAAACTACACTCCTATGAAAAGCTGGAGCCTTGAGGGGCATGTTTGTCACTCTCTGTCCATAAGTACCTGCCTGCTTTCAGGTAGCCTAACCACCCATTGCAGTCCAGCTCTGCAGCAAGGAGCTGAATGTGCTCTGCTGCTGGAGCTGGAGCCTTCGAAAAACCCACTAACCTGATGATGCAAAGCTGCATGTAGAGGAATCTCCCTCTTGTGTGCTGGCAGGAGTATAAACTGTTTGTATAACAGGTAAGGAGACAGCAATTCAAGTTTACTGGTTGCAGGATATTAACAATTGTAGTGTCTTCTCTATGACAGATCCATCTGGACAGGGAGCTTATGGCACTTGTGTTGTAGAAGACCAATGGATACTTAAGAACTAAAGCACGTTGTGTTCCATGACCAACTCTGCCATAACTGTGCCTTAAACATTTATTGCAACATTGTGATAAATAATATACACACCGTATCTTTTAAAATACCATATAAACCATACCTCAGGAATAGGGAGCCAGCTTCCCTACACAGTATCCTACAACATGGCCCTAGCCTGGCTGGAATTTATTTTTTAAATCTAAGACCAGGTCTGTAAAACTGGATAACTACATACAGTAAGCAGCCTACGCTATTACACAATTAATGTAGTATTGGCATTAGACTCATATAAACCCTTGCACATCAGCAAACTCAACTGCAGTGCCAGGTGTACTGTGGACATTGCCATCTCTGAGCCCATGCTGGGCAGAGGCGGGTGGGAAGTGGCTAGGCCTTGTTTCCACGTTCACGTCGCATCTACCATTTCCCAGGAATCGATGTTCCACACTCATACCAGCGAACATAGTTAATGTCGGTCTCTCCACCAATTTTTCCAAATTTGACAGGTTCCTGACGGACGGCCCTGAAAAATCCTGCAACAGAGAACAGGGTTGGGTTTGCATAGAGCCTTCACAGGACAACTTCCTTTGATTACCCTGTGATGTCCGTGTGCAGCTCAAGTAAGGGCTACACTAGGCCCTGAGCTGTTAGCTTGCGTGCCACACACAGCACTGGGCTGCCCCTGCACGGAGGGCACGCTGGCATTTTCCACCGAACTCCCAACACAAGCAGCAGCCCTTGGGATGTCTGCAGTGCAGGAGAGGTGAAACCTCCCTCCCTTTGAGGACCCAGCACTCACCCATGGGTGGTGCTAGCAGGGCTGGGCCAAGACTCCTGCCTTAGTTTCCCCTTGGCTGCAGCTGCTGGTGGCTTCTCTAAACAAGAGATGGTTCTTCCTCACAAAGTTATAATGATTGAATGGTTCCCACTGCAGCAGCCTTGACACTGCAGTAAACCTAAATAAAACCTGACAGCTCGGGATATTTCACACTATCTCCCCATCCCCAGGTGAAAGAAATGCTACATATTCCAACTGTTCCATATGACAATTCACATGCTTGCCAGTCAAATGGTTAAAGTGAGGCATTAGTGCTGAACTTAACCTGATCATCAGGAATGTGTGTGTGGTTAAAGCATGCACCTGTGCTCACACACACACAAGTGACTGTTCTGCCACTAATACACAACAGTAGTCATCATTCACCCTGCACTTTGGGCAAATGGGTGTAGTTAATTCCAGTTTAAACAGAGCTCGTCTTGCTGCAGCCAGGGAGGAACCACACAACAACAATCTGTTCTTTCCTCTGTCCAGTTCATTGACTAGAAGACACGCTATGGCAGAAATGGGGGCTTCTGTTGGTTGAGTGTTTTGTTGGCTTTTTTGCTTAGGTTTTTTTTTTCTTTGTCTCTACAAAATGAATGTAGCTGATGAATTCACTCAATAAATCCAGTTGCAGAAAACAAATCGGTTTTAAATGTCTGGCACAGATTCACTTAAATTAAAAAAAAACAGCTTAAAAGACATTTTAGATTGGATTCAGACAATCCCTTACAACAAACAAAGCACCTTTACAAATGGGCAACAGTGATGGGGAAAGGAAAAGCAAAGCCCTCTTAAATAAAAAAAAACAAACACCCCCCCCCCCCCCCCCCAAGTAAAAAATCCCATGAGCAAACGCCCTTAAGCTCATTTACCTAACTCTCTTCAGGAAAACTTGTGAGAGATTTTGGCACTTTGGTCTCCCTCATCTAAGTCAGCAGATTCCTGTACTTCCATAAGGTGCTTTATAAATCATAGAATCAACTGAGTGGAAAAGTCCTTTTAGATCATGAAGTCCAACCATTACCCCAGCACTGCCAAGACCACCCACTAAGGCATGTCACTGAGGGCTTCATCAAAATGGTTTTTGAACACTTCAGGGACAGTGCTTCTATCACTTACCTGGGCAGCCTGTTCCAATGTCTGATCACCCTCTCGGTGAACAAATTTTTCTAAATATCCAGTCTAAACCTCCCCTGGCACAGCTTGAGGCCATTACCTCTTGTCCTGTCACTTGTTACTTGGGAGAAGAGACCAGCCACCTCCTTGCTATATTCTCTTCAGGTAGGCTTAGAGACCGATAAGGTCCCCCCTGAGCCTCCTTTTCTCCAGAATAAAGAAATTCAGATCCTTCAGCAGTTGCTCATAAGACTTGAAGCACTACCTTCAGGATGAAGCACTGCCTTCAGGAAGGTTTGGACAACACACTGATACCATACCAAAAACCGTTCTATCTTCCTTGGTAAAATACTCCCTGACACACTCAGCCATGCACATCAATGCTGCCTGTGTCCGTGCCCCCTCAAGGGCATGGAACCCTTCACAGCAGCATTGCTGCCAGCAAGCAAGGCAGGCACTCAGCTGACAGAAGGACAATCTTATGGTTTAGCCTCAGCAACATGTGAACCATAGCCATAGGCATGGGGCAGGCTGCATTTAGGACATCCAGTCCCATGCTCAGTCAGACCAGGCTGGAATTCTAGGCACTTGGTTCAAATGAGTGCACACAGAATTACTGCAGTGTGAATTATGTTTTCCAGTAATAACCTTTTGGTGTGTAATTAGGACTAAACAAAGCTGTTTAATGCCCAGCTGCTGATTTACTGCACTTTAAATCAACCTTACTAGTTTGAACATAACACTTCATGCCTCTCTGCAAACACAAATTTGTGGTTGGATTTAAGTATGTAACACCAGCTGTGAATAATCTGTTGGCATGTTTGAGACAGGCGGAAGGCTGTTTACTACCTGACAGAACCTGAGTCATAACCGTCTTTTGATAAGTCATTGTTCATCTTCAAAAGCCCCTCAAGCCTGTTCTGCCTGCAAAGCCAGTTCTCCCTTTACATCACCCGCCCTGGCAGTGGGCATTGCATCCACCGCAGGAAAAAGAAACATGCAAACAAAGGAATTGCCAAGGGTTGCTACGCAGAGAGGCATAAGGAATTACCGTCTTTGACCGGCAGATCTTCTTGCTGTCCTGTCCTTCCATCTAAGAATGAGTCTACAAACTGACAGTGATCTTCTCCATGGCCCCGCTGGTCTCCTATGTTATAAAATTTTCCTGAAAGCAAACAAGCAGCAATGTTCAGTGAGGGCTATTTCCAACAACCACCGGAGGCCGTGGGCTGTGAAATTTGCTCCGTGGGGAAGCCAAGGTGAATGCTACGATTCTTTTCCTCCCAGGATCTGTAGCTGTAATTTGAATATTATGTGCATACTCCAAGTACAGTGCTCTTGGCTATAGAGAAAAGTGCCTAATTCATGGCCAAAACCTATACCTGAATGCATTTTTTCCCCACCTTACATTTCATACAGTAAGCAAAATTCTGTTATTACCTAGAACCTCATCCTGATACTACCAAAAATAAGGTGAGTTTTGCTAGTGATTTCAACATAAGGCAGATTTGGTTCCTTTCACAGAGCCCCCAGTACCTTCAAAGATGTTTTTGTGTCACCTCATAAGCCACCCAAGCCTGTTTTACAAATCATCACATTTTTACAACATGTATGTGCAAGTGATAGCCTTTAAGGAATATATGACCCCAGTATAGTAACTGCTATCTAGAACATGAAGTGTGCCCTTGTATTTATTTGCAGGATTGCTTAACTTGACTGCAACTGAGTAGAAAACAAGGTCTCAAATGCCACATGGAGCATGTGCTGACACTGTGGGCTGTGCTTACCCTGTTAACAAGAGCACAGTGAAGGAATTCTGACGGAGGTGTTTTTACTTAACTGATTTGGTTTGCTGGACATTAGTAATAACTTGGTTCAGAAGATGGAGGAATTGATGCTACACTCTCTTCCCAAGCCCTGGCAGGAAATACTTTCAGATAAATGTACCTTTTTCTCTAAACTCCTTTCATAGCACTTCTTACTACGTTCAGCCTTTGGCTGTGAGGTTGAAAGGAAATGTGAGAGCCTTTAGATACAGGCTCAGTACTCAAGTGTGAGCTAAGCAGGAAGTCCAGTTAGATGCTGGGCTTCTTGAATCTGCACCAGTCTGGCCATTTGAGGGATGGTGAGATGGCTTATGTTACTGCTCCCTAAGGTGCAATTAATAAAGTAGCAGACTACCAATAAACACTCTTTTTCTCATATTATTTTTTTGATCTGATCAGTGCTTTGCCAAGAATCCTCACCTCCAGCTGATGGTGTCTGTGCACACAGTTCTTCCCTAGCTTTAGAAAATTATTTATGACTATCCAGTTCTGGCTGCAGGCATGTTTTTTTCCATAGGAGAACTGGTCAGAGGGAGTTCCTTTCAGCAATTCTTTGGTTTGAAATTAAGAACATTCAGGCTGCCCAAACCAGCATTTCTTTTTCCATGGCGTTGAAGGTCACACTTAGAATTTTTTTTCCTCCCCTTAATAAGTACTTTTTTCTTTAGGTGGCCTGCTTTTCTGAAATGCCTGCACTGACTGCTCTGGAGGATTGTTAAATGAGGTCAGCAGTAGATGCTGGTTTATAGAACAGTCCTGGCATGTGTAGCATAGATCAGTTTTTTCTTCATGAGACTGAATAAACCAGATATTTTTATGGCTAACACAAGAGCCATAACTTTCAGATATGCACACACTCTCCTGGCCCACAGCGTAATCTGTGCATAATTCCAACAATTTCTATACATAAATTAGCAGTGTTCTCAGTAAATTTTTACTTCCCAACTCTTTCCATAATAAAGGAACACACTTAAAAATATTTAGCTGACAAATGGCTGGATTTATCTTTCTCATCTGGGGTTAGCAATTCCAGCATAAAGTAAATTTTTCTTTTTTTTTCCAGTGTTCCCATATGGGTGGACACCATTAGTTACCATCTTTGTTTTATACATTATGAATTCTGCAACTGTAGACATAGAAATATATGCTAAAACCAGTATGCAGTGATATGGTTGTTGGCTGCCTTGTAGAACAGCATCTGCACAATGCACCCAAAGTTCAAGATCACTGTGCTGCTTAAACAGCAAAGCTCCAGAAGGTATTTTCAGCCTATGGTGGAACTGGGGACCTCCGCGCAGCCCCTCACTGCTGGCTGGCACTGGCAGGATTTCATCCTCTGGCCGTGGGGGCATGGTGAGATGAGGTATGACAGCGAAGCACATCTGAACAGAGTCTGGCTTCAAGCTGGAAACTTCCTCACTCACATACAGAGGCCCATGCCATGGCAGTCTCACTTAAGAAATGGGGGGATGGGACAGGACGCTTTCCTTCATCATAAATATTTAAGTTATTTCAACAACTGTTGATAACTGGTCAGCACTGGTTGTAACAACTCAAGGGCAGGAACCAGGCTTAGCAAGTATAATGAATACAATGTGGCTGCCATAATCTTTCTCCAGCAAGTTAAGTCACCACCCTTCCAGCAAGAACAAAAACAATCTGATGAAAATGGGAAAATGGGCTCCTAATACATTAAACTTTTCTTCTAAGAGTGAAGTAGTTTTCACTGCAGTGTTATCTCACTTGATTTGGGGCTAAAACTGAGTCCTGCCAGATTAGCACTGCTATTTCCTCTACTGGCTGGTTTTGTGATACGCTGTGCCTCAGTGCCAGTGTTTGTCATTCGATCACGGTTAGTACAGCAACAGCTGAATGAATAATCTCTCTGTTCAAAACAGTTGCTTTTATTCACATAACTGCCAAGGTATTGTTTATGTATGAGGTATTGTACTTGCTTTCCTTCCTTGTCTGCTCATGGGAGCATGGTAGCAGGTTCAAGGCCGTACAGCTTAAAATTGTATTGGCATGGGCTGCCCTACCCTCTCCTGCTCTTTTCTTTCCATGTGTACAGAGAGCAGAGTCCTGCTCCTGTGAAGTGCTGAGCTCCAAGATGGGGCAACTTTGGATTACAAAGTCACAGTTTCTCCTAGTTAATGTAATTCAAAGTAATGAACATACTACCTCTAACTTACACTCAAAAGATATTTCCTGTGCACAGTTACATATACTCCTCCTACTCTGGCTGACATACTATTATTGTTGTGATAGAGTTGTCTATGCAGCTCTGATGAAAGACTGAAGAAAGCCAGGATCTTGGGATGGATTATAAGAAGTTAACATATTTCTAAATATAGGTTGTACAATCTGCATGAGACACAAAGTTCTGCTGAACTATCACCTACCCTGAAAAACACTTTATAGGCTGTCTCCCCAGCTTATACACAGCATATGTCACTTGATTCAGGTCTTAAAGACATCACACTCCAGTGACTTCAGACACTGAACAAAACTTGAGAAGATAAGGCCAGGAGGCTGCTGTTAGTAATACAACAGAAGGCGGCAGAGGGGTGGAGCGGAGAGGAGAGAGCTTGTAAGCGAAACTATGGAATGTGATAACAAAATAAAAATGTCAACACAGGTCAGTAAACCCTTGTTGACCAGAGTTGCAGCTATTTATTTATAAGTAATGAAGTAACCAGATGTTTATCAAATGGGATAGGAATGACTGAGTTCAGTCCTGGTATCAAATGAGGCCCTAATCCTCTAATTAAGAACTACTCCAGGCTACCCTTTAAATACAAATTTGGCACCTTCACTGGCAGAGATGTGATCTATCTCAATTTTCTGTATGACTGCTGGGATACTAACAGGTATTCAGATGAATAAAATCAAATGACTGTCAGAGAGAAGTAACTCTTGAGTCTGAAAATTCAGTATCAAACACATCAGTGATTACTGAGCACAACCAATCTACTGTGCTCATTAGTCTGCCTATGGACCTGATTTAACACACATGATCACAATTCAGTAGAGCTTGTCTATATTAAACCTCTTAGTTCTGGAACCATGATATCTTTAAGAAGTGTATCATATGGACAACACTGATTTGAATGTCTCTTACCCGTAAGTGAATCACTGAGGTATATCTTGTATCTCAAAGAGTTACACAGCTGCACACCTACAAACTTCTTATACCAAGTCCTCTTTACGTATTGTTTCCCTTTGCATTCTGAATAGGTGTCTGAATTGAATGGGATTTCAGTCCAGATAGCATCCTTTCCCACTGCAGGAGAAGAAAAAAAGAGTCTGAAGTATGATGCTGCACACAAAATTATGTACAACAAATACATTCAAATAAATAGAAGCCTTGATGGAGCAGAATGCACCATGGCACAAGTCACCTGCATTTTGAACATGAAAGATCTGTCAGGGAAGCATCAAAGGCTGCAGATATGACTGATGCAGTGAACTGCTGCTGCTCTCTGTGTGTGGTGCCAGTTTGGAATAAGCTCATACTAGGACCTTTTTAGGGGGACAGTGACTGTGTGTTGGCAAAACTCACAAGGTTTGTGATACAGTCACTGTTTTTCAGTGTGTTCAAGCCAGGACAGTCAACTTGCAGCAAATTGTATATGATTTAGCAAAAATGCACATAAAAATTTGTGTCATGAAGTACATGGAAAGTAATGGGTGTCTCAGTGTTTGTCAAAGTGATACCCATTACAGATGCAAAAAGCAGCCCAATTTGCTTGAGTGATCTCAGCTTTTCTTCAAAACGTCGCACAAAAGACAGCAAGAGCCTCTTCTAAGTGTCCTAAAGCAGAGCTGGATCAAGCTTTCAGAAGTAGAAAACTTTTCTAAAGCACAATGGCAGATAAATAGTATCCTCTGAGTTGTTCTCTGTTAACTCACTTAAAAAGCATGGAGTATCTTACTCATTTTACAGAGCTTTCTTTTGCCTTAGCGACAAGGCTGAGAAAATATGACGCTGTCCTTGGCTCATTTGTGTGTATTGGTTTGAAGCCATCCCAGCTGCCATGGAAGCACCACATCACGTCGGCTGTGTTCCGCTCAGGTAAACAAGCAGCCTGGCATGAATTCCTTACCAGGGGTATGGGTGGAAGGAGTGAAATAATGTGCGAATGCTTCTTGATTCCATCACTCATTTAACTGGTGTAGGGCAGCCACCCCCCTCGTAAAATTATGCTATCTCATTTCTGACAAGCTTCCTGATCAGAAGACTCTATACTATACATAAAAGGCTTACTTGAAATTGGCTCGTTCACTCTTGGGTCCGCTGGGGGAAGAAAACAAACATTCAATCAGATGCTGTAAAAAGAACTTTCCCAGTGTTTCAATGGAAAATCATTGGTAAGTGTTTTTCTACAGCTGACCTAAGCTGTAATTTGTGAAACAGAAAGAGTTTTGGAAGAAAAGTTGATTTTTTTGTACCAAATTAAATAAAGGGAATATATTTTTATGTGAAACTACAATATCAATGGGCTTTTAGAAATTTCACCTATGGGACAATACCAGTCAAACACAGTTCTAGTAAAAACAAGAGCTTAAACCCATAACCAGCAAAACCCAATTCTACTGCATTTTTTTTTAAATTTCATTTCCAAAACTTTAAATAATAAAAAAGACCCCTCTGTAATACTTGCCACTTGGCTATGAAAGCCCAAAAGTGAGAAATGGATGTGTGCAATTAAGAAAAAATAAAACTGACTGCATAATTCGTCCAAGCTAAATAGCAGACAGAACGTAAGCCTTGTCATTCCTGAAAACTACACTTGGCACAAACATTTTTTCAGTTTTAACAATTTAGGATTACAAAGAGTGCATTCACAATTTTTAAGTATGTGTGGCATAGTCTGAACTCCTCCCTGACTAATCCCTTGCTCAGCCAGATCTCCCATCATCAGTGGACTAGATGAGGACTAGATCTAGCACTAGATGAGGACTATAATATTACTACACCTGGCTCAAAATGCAGACTGAAAAAAAGGCTAAATCTATTTTGTGTTTTATACGATCCTTAAGTACTACCAACCCATAAACACTTCTACACAAAAGATGGTATCATGCTTGTATAAAATCAACAAGTCAACTGTAGTTAGCCTTACTGGGATCTGGAACAGAGAAAGCAAAGGCAGTCTCCAATTCTCACCTCTGAGTCAGATAGGACTTAACTTGGGAACCGCCTATGGTCAAAACAGGCTTGTAGACACCTTTTTAACAGTTTCACAGGTGAGTAAACAGGACAGAAGGGGACATCCTGGATCATCAGCTTTTCCCAACTGCTATTTCTCAATCCTTATTTTAGCCAAAAGACATCACTATTATACAGCAGCCTTATTGAACAGGTAGCAAAGGTGCCCATAAACACACCAGCCCAAAGAAAAACCTTATGTTCCCCATCCAGAAGTCATTAATGAGTTTGATAGATACAAAAAGGTCAGGAATATTAATCTTAAATGACTGAGTCTTCTCTAAGGAATTAGGCTTCTTCATAATGAGCACCAAACTGTCTGTGCTCGTGTTTGTTTCTCCTGCATTCTGGCCATCTTACATCCTTACACAATACAGCCCTGAATGCAGCTGACCTTCCAGGCACTACTGTAATATGTTCATTAGTAAAATGCCAGTCTGGATATAGTGAAGAGCAAGACGAAATGCACAAAATGAAGCAAGAGAGCCTTTCATATATCCCCCAAACTTGAATACTAGAGCCACTGTAAATGACGGTCAGACCTTTGGAAGCTCTCACCTGATTCAGTACTGAATGCCACAACATTGCTACTTGGACCTTCACCAAGAGGGTTTCTAGGTTTCACGTGGAATTCATAACTGCGGAATAAAATAGAAGAGATGATAATTTTGCAAACCAAGCATTCTTTCAGACTCTGGAGCAAGCAAACTGCCAACACGCACTTCGGTGCTACTTGCTCTGGGAGAGGAACAAAAAGGCCTCATTTCTTGGTCTGAAAACACTGAAATAGTCTTTGTCCTCACTGTGTAAGGCCTCTCTGAACACATAATTTACCAGTCCTTTTGATAATTATTTGCACATGTAATATTAACGTTTGATTTAATGCACCACTGGTTTAAGCCGGTCTCCTCTCATGCATGCAGTTTCAGCTCTGGCAAAGGGAGAAGTTCAGGTGAGGTCAGAAATAATCTGATAAGTAGAGATTGAATAAAGCACATCATTGCTATTTATTTGCTTTTTTTTTAATGCATAAGAACAAAAACCTCCAATTCAATGCCTCTCAGGCCTATCAACAGTAATAGACTGGGCCAGTAGTGAAACAGCATGTCTTCCGGATAGGAGCTCAGCCAAGGCAAAGATCCAATTACCTGAACATACATTAATAGTAAATATATGACGTAATGAGAGATGTTGTGCAGCACCTCTTTCTTATCTCTTTATAGTCATGTCACACACCAGTCTGTACTATAGATATCTCATAATCTCTTTTATTCATAAGTCAAACACAGTGCTATGAAAAAGGAATAGAATAACGAAGAAAATCCAAGCCAGGCTTCCCTGCTTAAGCTTCTCCCATGTCTTAATACTTTATTATTGGACAGTGGGATTGAGTGCGCCTCAGCAAGTTTGCCGATGACACCAAGCTGTGTGGTTCGGTTGATACACTGGAGGGAAGGAATGCCATCCAGAGGGACCTTGACATGCTTGTGAGGTGGGCTGATGCCAACCTTATGAAGTTTAACCATACCAAGTGCAAGGTCCTACATGTGGGTAGGAGCAATCTGAGGCACAGCTACAGGTTGGGCAGAGAAGAGATTCAGAGCAGCCCTGAGGAGAAGGACTTGGGGGTGCTGGTTGATGAGAAAATGAACATGAGCTGGCAGTGTGCGCTTGCAGCCCAGAAAGCCAACCTTATCCCAGGCTGCATCAAAAGGAGTGTAACCAGCAGGTCGAAGGAGGTGATCCTGCCCCTCTGCTCTTGTGAGACCTCATTTGGAGTACTGTGTGCGGTTCTGGTGTCCTCAACATAAAAAGGACATGGAACTGTTGGAACAAGTCCAGAGAAGGGCCACGAGGATGATCAGGGAACTGGAGCACCTCCCGTATGAAGACAGGCTGAGAAAGTTGGAGCTGTTCAGCCTGGAGAAGAGAAGGCTGCGTGGAGACCTCATAGCAGCCTTCCAGTATCTGAAGGGGATCTATAGGGATGCTGGGGAGGGACTCTTCATTAGGGACTGTGGTGACAGGACAAGGGGTAATGGGTTAAAACTTAAAGAGGGGAAATTTAGATTGGATATAAGGAGGAAATTTTTTCCTGTTAGGGTGGTGAGGCACTGGAATGGGTTGCCCAGGGAAGCTGTGAATGCTCCATCCCTGGCAGTGTTCAAGGCCAGGCTGGACGCAGCCTTGGGTGATATGGTTTACTGTGAGGTGTCCCTGCCCACTGCAGGGGGGTTGGAACTTGATGATCTTAAGGTCCTTTCCAACCCTAACAATTCTATGATTCTATGCTTCTATGATTATAGTCATGGACAGGCAAGATAAGACAGCTTCCTACTGCAGTTCAGCTCTAGGTAAACAGCTATTGACAGACAGTTGCAAAGGTAAAAAATATTACACAGAAGACACTGGACAGGTGAGGCAGAAAAGAGAGTTACAGGGTTGAACACTGGACACAGATAAGATCTTGCATGAAGGGCAGACCTGGAAACAGACTGTTTCCCCTTCCTCCCAGCAGACACAAACCCCAACGAACTGTTTCTCAGCTCTCCTGGCTGTAGGCTGGTAGCACCTGGGATTTTCTCACTACTCAGCAATGGCTCAGTACCTCCCTGTAGGACCTGCATGCCTTCTATGCCAAAGCACCTTGATGAGTAACATGTATACACACCCAGATAACAGTACCCTCTTCACACCCCTGCCAAGAGCTGTAAGCAGTCATCTGTCCAATGCATGCCACCTGTAGAGACTTTTCATGTGCCTTGAGTGGGTACATGGTGAACATCTCTTAACACAGTGTTTATACATCAGTGAGAGAGATCCATAGGACAGGAGTCATGAGGACAGTAGGCCTGTAAAATGGGGCCCTACTTATAGACTAAACACAGAGCAACATGAGAATCCCAGAAGTGTGCAATTAAATATCCAGCTCATGACTAGTGAAGGATTCCTTACCAATGAAAACTTGGTAGCTCATGACTATAACAGCATTGTAATGTATTGCTGAAACTGTTTCCAAACAGCAATTTTCTAAAGAAAAAAAACATACCACTCTCTGCACACGGTTGGAAATTTGTAAACTCCATTTCCAAGTCCCTGCAAGAGACAGAATAATTCAATCCAAACTTTGGATTACCTCTCATTGCTTCGTGGCTCCTGCAAAATGTGAACGGATAGCTAATTAACCTCAGTGGACTAATCATGCAGTACCAAGCAACTGTTTTCCATCCACAGTTCTTCTAAGACCATATTTAACTTTCAAATTGCTTACATAAGCAATTGCCTTTATTTCTAGAGTTTTCTTTTAAGGGAAATACTTACAAAATTTGGTATGCTGAACAGATGCATTGTGGATAATGCATGGATATTTCTAAATGAAAGATGGGCTTGTTTTGAGCTTTAAAAAGTCTGTTTGGAGTAATCTTACTATTTATTCAAACGGGCCACAAGACCACTTTGAGCAACTCAGATTACTGTGGAAGGGGGACATTAAATAAATAATAAGTTCTAGACACAAAATCTTCTTCATGATCAACTTGTTTAAACAAATACATGTTTTTAAAAATTGGATTTGAGCCATTAATATCCACATGCAGTACAGTAACTATTTTGGTCAAGCAGTATTCTCATCTGGTAAGAAAGGTTGTTACACAGAGCACTGCAGCAGGGCAGTTGGAGATTCCTCCTAAAGAATCACTGAAGCATAAATGAAGATTTGCTAATATGCTGGGTGTTTTAAAGTAATAAAGAGGATACATTTTGGGCAGTGTACAAATTAATGCATGTCTAGAGATAAAAAACTCCAAAGAAGTTTTCCTGCTTCCCACACTTGGGAAAATAATGGTAAGATTGAAATAAAGAACTCTACATACAGAGATTCCAGTTCATGTAAACAAAATTGGAGAAAAGGAAAGTAATAAAGAAATGCCCAAATTTTAGCTTCATGGTTTAGGGGAGCTTCTTATTAATAATTTTAAATATGAATTGTTTTAAACTAAAACTTATAAAATGTTATAGTTTCATGGTAGGTATTTTTACAGATGCCCAGTCATCATGGGCTTCTTTCCTCTGCCAAATTCAATCCTGAAACAATAGCAGTGGCTACAACTGTATGAGAACAACAAACAACCACTTTTGGAGATGAAGAGAAGTAGCTAGTTGAGTGAAAACTGAAAGGGAGAGAAAGGAAAAGTTAGACTGGGGTCACGATTTGATAGAGTTTACAGATCTAACTGTAATGTTAAAGCCATGGTGTGGTTCTCTTCATAAAAAAAAACATTTAAAGTCTGCCTTTTTGTGTGTCGTGAAATATCTGAAAAATAAAAACAAAATGGTGAAAAAAGGTACCTGCTTCCATATTATGCACTTCTATACAAGCCACAAGGGAGGAGAAAAATGCTTAGAGATTCATGAAACTATGTAGGGCAAAGTTAATAAAAGGAAATAGGAAAGCTGTTTATCCCATGTCTATCTCTTAACTAGACATTCACAGGAACCTGGAGTCTATATTGTATCTTTACATATGTGTGCCTATGATGACAAAAACTCTGCTACCCTCTAACACCGAGAAGATTGATATCTTACAAAGTTTGGAGACTAGGCCTCCCAAATCCTCCCAAACTGCATAAGACAATAAAAGTCCTTGTTCAGATTAAATGGACTTGACTTCTGGTATTAATGTGCAGAGCATATTTTTCCACCATAAGAAATCACTATTCCACATGGAACTTTGGCAGACGCAGCTGCTCCCGTATTTTTCAAAGCATGCAAAAGGAGAAGACTGAAGATTGCAGAACTGAAAATAGGTGAAGAGAGATTTTTACCATAATAGGAGGACTGGAGCAGTTGAGTACAGTCCTGGGATTTCAGGTCATTGCTGGGGAGATGCTGGTGGTTAGATGACAGTATCACACAGGGCTGTCTCAATGTATACATTGAGCTTCTCTGTTTCTGCAGTGTGTTTGTATAGCAGCATGATCTGACATAGCAAATAAAACTAGGTTTAAGAAACGGGAGGGAGGGAGTGAAGGAGGGATTGCTGGGCTTTTTTGGGGAGTCTTTCTCCTAATCAAGTTGGAAGAAGGGCGGGAGAAATAGGAAATGCTTACCCATGATCCTGTCATCAACAGCAATTTAGTACAAAAATCTGTTACTACTGTAATAATGAGTACAAAAAACTCCAGCATTTTTCTGCCACTTTGCATTTTTCTGCATTGCAGCTTTCACTGTAGTGCCCATTTCTTAACTGTTAACAAAAGCTAAGCTCTTTGCATCAGTAGATTTTTTTAACTTGCATGTGATTAGCAAAGTTTAGATGCTAACTGCAATACAAACCAATACTAGATAATGGCAATAACAGCAGGAACTGTTATTGTGAATTATTTATTCGTATGGTATGAATTATTATGTATAAGTGCACAAAAAACGTATTCAGTAGAGGGCTGTAGACTTACTTGGTATGGCCTTTGAGTAAATTATAGCAACATTCTCTTTTTTTGTCTCGTACCTTTTGTAAGAAGTATAAAAAAAAATTTTGAAGAAAATCATCTACACACATTATAAAAGCAGTTTGGTACATGCATATATCCTACATTTCACATGCACTGCACAGTTCTGGTTGGTGGTTGGATTGTTTGCT